TAAGCGCAATGGCGCCGCGGTGTTTTCCGACGTTCTTATTGGCGGCAAGTTTCATCAGCTTGATCTGCCCTGTTTCGACCTTCTGCGACTGTCGCTTTATATTTCATAAATCTTATTTCATAAATCTCAATTTTAAATGTGTAGGTCAACTTGTGTTGCACCCGGTGAATTATTTACAATTTGACTGGCGTCCTAAAGTCTGATCTACAATGTGTTCTTTGCTTCCTATTTCTTGTTTTCTGTCTTTTTTTTTAATTTAAGGTTTAAGTCAGAAAGAGATAAGGAAAAAGTAACAGGAAGCAAATAACACATTATAGATCAAGTTTTATATTTCATTGAGTTTGTCTTGCAGAAATTTTATTTTTCATTTATCATCTTGTTTCATGAAGAAAGAAAAGCAGTGTTTTTTATATGGAGGAAATTTTGTAGCAATGTTACTGTAGAATATTGTCATCAAGGTATAGATCGATATTCTGCAGTAATTTATCAGCATTTGTTTCATATGTGCACTGAGAGGAAAAATATTTCTAAAAGAAATATTTATTCTGTGGATACTAGTAACGTATTTAGTTAAGTCTCAATTCTTTCATTTAAATTGAATAAATAATTGCTTTCATGAAAAACTACACTGAAAAAAATATTTGCAATTATAATTATGATAATAATAAAATGATAAACTTACATGTATGTTACTGCTACCATTTTTACTACGAAGAATATGGTTTAGGTAAAAAATAATTATAATTTTAGTTAGATGAATCATTGTTTCCCTTTCAGTATAAGAAGATAAAATTTTAAAAAGATTTTAAGTATATGTTCTCATTTGGAAAATATTTTATATTACTACAGATGAATATATGTTATTAATGTTTACAGATAATTATTTCTTATTTTTTAGATTATTTTCTCTTAATATATTATTTATATCTCATAAACTGTGAAATATGCTATTAAAAAAATTGTTATTTTCCTAGCAAAATTATTATGTTACTTAACAAGAATATATTTCTGCACTATTAAAAACGTAGTAGAATTATAAAAAATTTGAATATGAAAAAGACTATAGTATTCTCTCCATGTATTACTGGCTATTTTATTTTAATATTTTTTCATGATTTTTTTTATTATTTACACTTTCAGCAAAACTTCAAAGAATTTTCTAAAATTTTTTTACATGGTAAGAAACTTCTAATAAAATTTGCTATTTTTCTAACGAAATTTATTATGTTTCTTAGCTTTAGACCATACTAACCTGCACTACTAAAAACACAGCAAAATCGGAAAGAATTTATATGAAAAAAAAAAAAAAAAGAAAACTACAATATTCTCTCTCCATTTACGGAACAGAAGTGCGAACAGGAGTAATTGTTTGTCGGAGAATTAAATTCAATATTTCCGTTGGCAGTTTCGCTGACTAAGCCAACACTCATATCAAAGGAACGGAAGACGTAAAATCGACATTGTGTTCATCGCAAAGTTTTTTACGAAATACAAAACGCTGCGTATGCAAATTCATAACAGTCGAGTCCACGCATGCTCTTAGCGGCGCCGCATCGTCGTGTCCGGGGTAACGGCGTTTCCTCCCGAGAATTTATTACGTAATGGCGGGAATTGAGTAGTGCCTGAATCACTTATCAAGGTCACGGAGAAAAACAAACTTTTTAGACCTCTCTTCGCGGCGTCTCCTTATTACTCCCATCGCGCTCTCTAGTGTGTAACAGTAGAAAAAAGATGTATTATCCCCCTTAGCTACGGCCCGGCGTGGAGAACAAAAGGAAGTGCGGCCGATTCGATTATGATATAGGAAGAATATGACATCGGTGCTTCTAGTAGAAGCCCCTTCGTAATTATGCGTTGCACGCTCTCGCGTAATGATAATTGCAACAAATTCAGTGTTTATTTTGCGAAATAACGATCCCGCCGTGGAATTCCCTCTTTCTCTCCTGGTTAAGAAAGAAATTGACGCCGCAATCGATAGTCTCAATTTGCAGTTAAATAGCCGATGAAGTCGAGACAGATTCGAGGCTGAATAATCGATATTTCCCTCGTCCTCGTGCTTTCACGCTGTCGCTGCGAAGCGTGAGTAATTCGCACAAGAACGTATTGTGAGGAAGACGAAGACCGCGATTAAACATGGATCGCATGAGGAGATAAAACGTTAAAGAGCGCGGCTGTTAAGTGTCGGCTCGCGTGCGCTTTGAAGCGCCGAACGTTATATTATGTCGCCTGCGAATATAAACAAGCGGATCGTCAGTCCGCGAAGCTATAACGTCTACGGAATTTATTGCTGAGCAACCGATCTTTGCTCGTTCTTTTATCTCATCAATATTGGAAATGATTATTCTGGAGTCGGGGAATTGTGCGTAATATATTAAATTGAACGTGATAAAGCTATTTTTAGCGATCCGTTAAGCAGGGTATCGATTCTGCCCCTTTTTTCACAAGATAATAATGTAAATTCTAGAAGTAATGTGTGCGGTATAAGCGATAAAAGCGTCCCTTCCCACGCGTCGTGCTCCTTTTTGTCTCTATTATGAATATTCTCAAGAGAAGCGCCCTCGCCGGCGCTCGGCTGCGCCACTGAGGAATGCTCAAATTGACAGTGATTAACCGCGTTTGTCTAACACGCCGTGGGCTCATCTCTCTCCTCCTCCTCCCTTAAGTAATGGCTTGCACGAGTCGTCACGTACCTGTTTCTTCATTTATTATCGCACCGCCTCATGGTCGGTTCTAATGAATTTTTATATTTGAAAAGGAGCTACACTTTCGAATTTCAAGCCGATTTTGATGCTTCTTTTTTTTAATAAAAACTGATGAAATTTAGAGTCAGACTCTTGTTGAGTCAGATTTCCGCCTTTTGCTCCTCCTTTTATAAATTAGATATAAAGAAGTTATATTTAGAGAAATGTTTTTTTTAATCAAACAATTCCGATAAATGCGGAAGCTCAAAATTTGTTGTTTCAAGAACGATAATTAATAACAAAATTGATGAATTAAATTACTAATTGAAAAATACTGAATTAAGTATTTTAATTAATCTCGTTTGTTAAGATTCAATGAGACTATCTCAATCTGTTTCTTTTTTTAGGCCTATAATCAGAGTTTGGATATTTAATCTCAATATTAATATCTTCACCTGATATTAAATTAGATAAGATATTAAATGAGTTATTTGTTGTTTGATTGAAAAACATTTCTAGTTTCTTTATATTTTGATGTAGGAGAAGGGAAGTAAAAGACACACCGGACTCGACAAAGTTGTTCCAAATTTCAGTAGAACCTTTCATTAGAAAAAAGCATCGCAATCATTTAAATTCTGAATCTATAGCCATTAACATGAAATTTTATTTTACTTTACTATGCGTCATCTGCGTGCATCTATTATCAATAGACGCAGGCTGCTGAGGTGTGGCGGTTGCTCGCATCGCCAGCAGCTGACTAATGCAGACGGATCGCAGGAATTAAGTTCAAGTCGTTACTTATCTTTCCGTTAATGCCCGACACGGAGATCATTATCGCGCGATACGCGAACACATCGTGTGTTTCTGCGGTACTTTTATAAAAAAAGCAGTGTGAGCGAGATCGACGCAAAATTTGTGATATTATCGTACGATAATAATTACAACAGAGATCATTATCACCTTGTGTGATAATGCCTGTCGAAACGAAGTTGGGTGTTACTGGCTAACACGAGGAAAACAGACCAAGTTTGATTTGACGAAAAGACAACTATAATGTGATATGAAAAGAAATTATAATATTCTTTTTGCGTGTATAGCTTATATCTTTTATATATGTAGTAGATTTTTCATCAAAATCTCACGCGTGGTTTAGAACATATTAAGAATAGCAATTAAAAATAGCACGATAGCCTTAACACGTCTGAAAAGTTTAGTTGCAAATATCTCATCTCGAGAATAATCGATTTTTTTTCTAATAATGCAAGTTCCATCAAATTCTCATGAAACTCGTGTCACGATACAACTACCTTAAAGCACGCATTTGTCTTCGAAGAAAATATTACAACACAGATATTACGGAGTCTTTAACGGGTTCTTATCAATTCGGTTGGTATCGTAGATTAGAAAGAAGTGCACAAGAACAGGTGTAATATGCAAAATTATCTAATTAAGATGTTAATCTTGTCGTAATTACCACTCTTCTCTCGAGCGAACGCATATCGATATTGATGATGGACTCTGACGTTTGTAAACATTTGATAAAGATTGGCTGGTGTTTTCCATATAAGATAAATGTGATTTAATGTGCAAAACAATATCATATATTCCTCCCCGTGCGCGTTTTGCAACAGCAAACTTTGCTTACCCCCGTTCCATTCATGATATCCCGGTGTTATATTGTTAGAATTGATCCTTCCGATATTAATAGCTTGTGCTGGGCAATAATTTAAGAGCTACCTTAATCCCCGACGAGAATTGAGATAGTTTCGAACGACCATCTATGTCATATCTTTCCTCCTAACCCTTTAGAGCACAGTGATTTCACCGTAAGATCATCTATTAGAACCAGATTATAACTTCAGGCATATTGATCTCGCAACGAAATCGCTCGTGCATAGCTTGTGTATAGTGATGCACTTTTTTCCGGTTTTAATAATAGGAAATATATAAAAAAAATAACAGGAGGAAATAAAATAGAAAAGGGAGAGTAATTTCTTGAGTTGTCATTCTAGACATGTGACATGAATATTTTATTAGAATCCGAATTTGGAAGGTTCCGTATTTCAAAGTTAATAGACTTCCTCCAGGTTGATATTATATAGGCAAAATGATAAACCGATTTAACTTGAACTTCAGTTTTCGTGGAACCATCGAGTACAGTTAAGAGTGAAGCCACAGCGGACGATAAGATATCTACGCACATGATACTACGTTTTCTTAGATAAATTCATGCATTACGTAAGCACGGCTCTGTTTATCAACACACTTTGTCAGCCTTCGTGGAACGTGACCAGATCTGCTTTTTTTTCACATACACAGATTCCGACAACGAGAGCAAGGATGGCTCCACGGTGCAGGAGAAGAAGCACGGCCGTGTCTCTCAGCCCATCAACACCATTGCCTACACGGTGAGTGCGTATACGTGTATGTTAAGCGCCATAATTGAGCGCATATTAAGCTCCGGCATGCGGCGATGCACTTGCACTATTCCAGCGAGCAATCGAGTGCCGAGACGAGAGACGATTAAGTGCCAAGGCGAACAAATGTAACCTTTGCTCGAACGCGTAAATATACGTTATCCTCCCAGTGCGTGCGAACGTGTGGCCGTTTCCTCGTCACCTTCGAGATGAACGTTCAATGATGCAAAACGGTGTTCAGATTCCGAGAAGAATTAAGAAATCTGAATGTGATTTCAGGGGAACAAAAGAGTGTAGATTTAAACGCAAATCAAACGTTTATAAATTTTTCATCCTTTTATCATTTTCTTATTGGCTTTTATCCCATCATCGTCAAATTTTTTATCTTCTTTTCTTATATTAAAAAATAAAAAGTAGAAATCGATCAATGTACGCGCGCGGAGCCGAGTTATAAGCAAAAATTGTTGGTGCAAATTGGCAGCTGTGTGCCCTTGGTGTCTCTCGCCAGATGCGTGCTCTTGAAGGGTTAATATGATGCGGGAATTTCTTGGATGTACAGTGAAATTGCAAAATGATTTAGACACAATGAAGTTGGGAACTCGCCAAACTGTCAAATTTGTGGGTCATTGTCAGTGAACTTACACAATAATAATATAATTAATCGTATGCAATTATGAATACTAAATAATAATAAGTAATAAAAATACTAATACTAATTAGTAATAATGATAATAATTGATAACATAATCACACAATATAAAAAAAGATCGAGATAAGACGAGTAAACCTGTCAACAATGACTCTCGATTTTAACGGTTTGGTGAACTCCCAACTTTATCACGTCTTTTGTAACCCACTGTACATCGTAAAATTGATCGAGCGAGTGTGAATGAAAGATTAATGAGAGATTGCAGCGAAACGGCAGGTGCGTCGCCGCGCGAGGCACGAATTTCTCGAAGGCCGCGTGAATTCCACACGCAAGCCTCGAATTCAGGAAATTGTCTGATAGCGCGCCTTTTCCGAATCGACCGTTATGTGGTCATGATGTAGTAGTCTCTTCCGAGAGCTTCTTCATATTTACGACGAAGTAATTTAAGAGACAAGTACCGCGTCTACTAGCCCGGAGAAGACAGCCCGCGCTAATTGACCCGCGCAAGGTTCGACGGTGGCAAAACTGCGATCCTCGCGCGTGATTTTGCGTTCATCGTGTCTCGCGGAGAGGAAGAGTGGCCGTTGAAGAATCTCGACGCGCCACGTAAAGGATTAAAGCTGGCCACACACACTTTCCGTAACAGTAATCGTAAGACGTAACGTAAGAATTGACCAATCATGTTGAGATTCGTCGAATTGTAAGGTCGCCATTTTTGTGAATACTCGATCGTAATGGTCAATTCTTACGGTTACTGTTATGGAAAGTGTGTGTGGCCAGCTTAACCGCGCGTATTGACTCGCTGTTCGATTATCAACTGCGCTTATCGACGCGTGCGCGAGTTCTCTCGACGAAATACTTCGGCACGAATTCTAATTACATCGCGCGCAGAGCGGCCTCTCAGAGCCTCGTTAGCGAAATAGTTTCTCCCTGAAGGGTCGCGCTCGTAGCGAAAGGTCGGCGAGTTCGCAAAGGCCGCGGACACCCGCTATGCGCTCGCGGGGAACTTTGGTGACGCGGGGGACACGACACGGGGTGGCGGTGGGACTCGCGCGCATCGCTAGAATTCTGGAGCAGTGTGCATGCGAGGACCGCGTACGTCTCTCGAAACGGCACGTGTCTGTCGCGCAAGGTCGGGACATTTTGTATCGAGCGATCTGAATTTCGCTCCTCGAATCTTCTCCTTCTCCTCCTCTTCGTTGTTGTCGTCGTCATCAACGACCATCTGCGCGACACGTCGTCTAATATTTCATTTTTAAGACCTTGTCTACCTTCCACGTGGAGAAGTATTTAATGTTACCTTTTAATGATGAGCGACCTACCTAACTGGCCTTGGTCATTTCGTTCTTCGCTTCTCCGCTCATCGTACTGACGCGTTGTTCAATGCCACGTTAAGAGAGCTTCATCAATCACACAGAAATGTAATGCAAGATCTTTTCTTATATCATTCAATGTAGGGATATATTGTTTGTATAGTCATCGCGAAAAGTTGCTGAAAATTAGAAATACACAATAATATTACTATTTTCAGTGTAAAACCGTATGATATATATGATACGATACAGTTGATTGAATATAATACGATACAGTTGATAATTTTACTTTAACATCACATTCTTATAGTTCATTTCATATTATTTCTGACTTAAATCGTTTTACCTCTGAAATGATAAAACTTTGTATACATTCTTTGGAATACTTTGAAGTACAATTTTTGTGCTTTTTGTACTTTTCTTCCTTTTTTTCCGAAATAAATTCATATCGATTTAAGTATAGTGGTCAAATTACCCATTTTCTTCCGTAAAGTTAGATTTGCACCGCTTTCAAAAAAGGCGACTCTTACAAGTATGAGGTAAAGTGCAACGCGTAACGAGTTAGATAACCCGATAGTTTTTTCTAATCCTTTGGGTACCATAGCATCAGAACCATCGTCGTGACGCGTTATATCAGGTCGATCGCGATTGCCGATTTCGCGCGGGTACATGCCTCAAGGGAAATTTCTCGATCGAACGTCGTTTCAGCAAGAAACCATCCTTCTCTCTCTCTCCCCCCCTCTTTCTTCTCTCCTTTCTTTCTAACCCTAACCTGTTCCTAATGCGATGCTCGTGAAAGGCTCATGCTTCGCAGAACGGAAGTCCGCGCGACGTTTATCCGCCGAGCAAATGGAGTTGTTGCACAAGCTGTGCACTTCCTGGTTTCCTTCGGAGGCAGTAGAACCCGAACGAAGCTTCGTGGAGGTACAGGCTAGTCCAGTTTAACGGCGCTACGGCACATCCTGCGCGATTTCCTCCGAGTAACTTCACGGGAAATCTCAGGTCTCCTCTCGCTGGGGCGACAGGCGGAAGGTTGTTATTGGTTGTTTAGCCTTATCGCGAATCGGGTCGAAGAGCTTTTATTAGCATTTCCCGATGAACTCGGCGGGAACAGCCAACTGATGATCGTACTTCCTGCGTTATCGTAAATAAACGCGATTTTGTCTCGCGAATGCGCTCGTTATTCTCATTCAATTCGTTTTCCACGAGTCAATTAGTTCGATAACTTGCGCGATAAATTGACCGTATTTTTTATCGGCGGGATTTACCAGAGGATATTGCGTTACATGGCGTTCGCACACGTGCCAGAATTTATTGTTGCAATATAATAATGTGTAATATAATAACGATTACACGCTAATTATATTATAATAACTGACGTTAATGTTTAATCTTCGTAATTAGATTGAATCAATACATTATCTAATCACGTCGATGCAAACGTAAATTAATCGTGCGAATTATCGTGCGAATTATCGTGCGAATAGTAAAAAAGGAATTATCGCGGGATTCGGAGACTTAATTTAATAAAAAGTAGACTGTAGGAAACGTTCAGAATGTACGATCTCGGCCTCGATTCACGTCCTCGCGGTTCGCGCAATGTCAATTTGCCGATGGACCCGCCGTTCTCTGCCAATTTCGGTGACCGCCGCTGCCGTTATCCTATATTTGATGGCGGCGGAATCGCTACGGCCATGGCATGATCTTCGCGGCCCGTAATCACGCGTTGGCGACAGCAATCTCTACTCTATTACAGCCGGCTTATGCCAGTCGACTCCTTGCACCCCATCGATCGATTAATGTACAATTCCACCGTCTTATCTTTCTCGACGACTCGCTCGTTACAGTCGCGTACATTAAGCGACAACGTTTTCCAAGTTCACGCTTATCGTTTCATCAACGTTCAAGCGAAGTTACATCCGAGAGACGTATTTAACTTCGACTTGCGTCGACGTAGAAATTTTAACTGCAAAGAAATTTCCCGAAGAGTACGGAGAAACGCATTCGCGCTCGCTCTACTTGGCGTGTATCAAAGTGCTTAAGCAAATTTTCTTAATTGTGGAACTTACGTAATAGTTTCTAACTGGAATCTCTTCGATGACAATGATTACAGCTTGGCGCCTTAGAGACTGTCTCAGCGTGATTGACAATGATAATGATAGTACTTGAGAAAAATATTTGATTACAGGCGACAACATAATTATTCGCAGCTCGCGATACTATAACAAATTTTAGTTCAAATTAAAGAAGAATTTAATCGCGAGATTTAGACTTCACTCTGAGAAAAAATACATGAAAATTCACTTGTCAGATATGAAGTTTATTTCTGTAAAATAGAATTTATTTCTGCGAGTGAATTTTATATATTCCATAAAAATAAATTTTCAAATATTTTTTTTCAGTACAACTACGAGATATACGTTGAGAAATATAAATTCTTGAAAATTTATTTATGAGACATGAAGTTTATTTCTGTGAAATAAAGTTTACTTTTGTGAAGAAACTTTATATTCCACAAATATAAATTTTCAAGTATTTCCCCTTCAGCACAGATGCGAGATACATTGAGAAAAAAATGACTTGAAAATTTATTTGTGAGATTCAAAGTTTGCTCTTTTGCAGAAATAAACTTTATCTCACAGAAATATATTTTATATATCCCCAAGTAAATTTTCAAGTATTTTTTTTAAGTATACTTGTAAGTGTTGACTTCGGTTTGCCAAAGATCGACGACGTTTGTCGAAAAAGTGACATTTGTCATCGTGTTTCGCGGACATCTCGATGCACCGTCTGAGAGAGCGAAAGAGGCAGTCTGTATAACAATCTGTCATCCGCAGAGAGGCGCGCACAGACGGACGCGGGGAATCGACGGGGAATGAGGAATGAGGGACGAGAGAGAAAAGAGAGAGGTGCAGAAAAATAAGGACAACGGGGAGCTCTCTCGCAAGAGAGATCTTTTGTGGCCTGGCAGCTCTCGCCCGAGCGAAAACGAAGACGAGGACTGTAAAGCCGCGGCTAAAAGACGCGGAAACTGAAACAATGGTCCCCCCGCGCGCTCGTCTTCTTGCTCTTCGCGGTTTCAGAAAACATTTCTGCCACCCCCCGTCGCGTCGGCGTCGTCATTTTTTTCCTTCTTTTTTGTCGGCTTCATCACCACGATTCTCGCTTTTTATCCGCTTTAATCGATCTTTCTTCCTTCTCTCTCTATCCTCTCTTTCTATCTTCTATCTCGATCCTCTATCTCTATCTTGAAGATCGATATACCTCTCTCTCTCTCTCTCTCTCTCTTTCTCTCTCATCTTCCGCCGCCCACGCGTTTGATCTCTGCCGGAGGAATGGCCGTTCTTTTCCTCGTTCGACCGCGTTGCTAATGGGACGCGAACGAGGAAAGGGGAGAGGGGCCTTGTGGCTTTCTCTATCGCTCGTCTAATCTCGATCGTCCTATATTTTTACCTAGAACGAACGATGTTGAAAGCCAAGGTGGAAGCGATCTGTTCGTTATTCCGCACCGTTGTCTGAGAAATAATTTTTCTGAAAATTTCTCATTTTACAAGTAAAAAATGCGCCCATATAGGTGCGACATGAAAATTAGATAGGATGTCTCGTGTTCTACAGCGAGCGACGGTAGTTTTTATCCAAACGTCGATAGTTTCCAGTTTCGAAAAGTTGCTCACTCGAGAGAAAACCATGCTTGAAAACTATAACCGATTGACGGATTTCTGTTCTTCGGCTAACAGATTCTGTCTCGATAGAAGTGAGATTGCTGTCACCCGCCAATCTTCCTTAATTAATGACTCAAAATTTTACGTCGCATTTTCCGCGAAACACCGGTAGAAAATAGACTTCTCAACGTTTGAAACGCGACTTATGTCCCACCGGGAAATTCGTTAATTATTCTGCAGCACTTCAACCCGCTCTCGCCAATTGCGCGCCGCCTATTACCACCTCGCACCTTCGCTTTAGTGCTCGTAATTCCATTAGGTGCCGTCACGCAGGAATCTTGCCGCGTTATTATCATTTTTCAGACTGAGTTCACCGGAGCTTGAGCCATACTTGCTCCAGTAATTAAGACGTTTATCTGCATCCAACGTCTACCTCCGAGATCTTCCTTCTGTCTTCATTATTTTCAACAGAGGTTTCGACGAAGCGAGTTTTATCAATTTTCGCGAATGGCCTATGCAGTTCATTAATTTCGAAATGATTTATTAATTTTAATGATATCTTGAAAAGAGGACTTTAAGATAAACGTAATGCCTGCGCATGTACCCAACTTTGGGCATTCTTATTGTATTACAATGACACTAATGCTAATATTTAGTCTCCATTATTATAATAAATTAAAATTAAAATTACAAAGTGTCTGACGCAAAGTGTCCCGTACTTCATATACACATAGATTAGACGTTGAACGTTTGACTGAATGCAACATTCCTCTGCCATTTTGCAAACAGTTGGTTCAAACTTCGAAGCTGCAGCCTGTTTTTTTGAAATTTTTCTTGACCTCACTGTGCGATGGTGAGATCAACGCACGTTTGTGCGAGGACGAGCTTTTTAATTGGATTACACCGGCCCGGTCTGCGCTTACTTGCTCGCTCGCTCACTTGCCTTTGTTCGTGGAGAAAGCGATCGCGACAAATAGTCGGTCGGTCGTGCAATGTATCGAAGCGACCGCGACGATGGCTGCATTGTTGCGCCACGTGCACTCGAGTGTAGGTCGTTGCACACGAGAATTTGCATAAGAGACACACTAGGAGCCACGCCTCCTTTTCCAAGAATTCAATTTTCCATCGGCCGAGCGTTCATACCCCTCGCGAGCGTCGTTTCTGTCGGCTTATGTAAATGGGCTAATGGCCTCGTGCACTGTCGCGGGCGTGCACGGCGGGAAAATCGCGCGCACCAGGGAGAAAGCTCAGGTGCGCGCCCGCGCGCTTCGCGGAGTAACGGCATTTTTATCGCGTGCGATCTCGTCAAGAACGTGTAGGACATGGCGGGATACGCTCTCGCGTCTTCTGGTGCACCTGCGGGTGGTCCCGGGTCGAAAAAAGAAGGAGGAAACGAATATCGAAGATAAGTACCTCCAAGTGTGGCCAAGTGTAACCCGCTTGCAAGCTGAGCTGCGAGTTTTCGCGTTGTCTTCGGCGAGTAAGAGAAAACCAATTCTCCGAACACGTAGCTAATCTTGGACATGTTTGTTGTCTCGGTCTTTTAATACGAATAATCAGACTTTCAACGTACGCGGCAAAGAAGAATTTAGTTGGATTGACCAAATGTCTGATGAAGTATGAACGAATAGTATTCGTCCAAATTAATAGGATTCCTGGTTTATCAGAAATCTTATTTAGTCAATTTGAAAATGTACATGTATTTGCTTGATATATGTACATAGATTTTATGTTGAAAGTTTACATATTCGTATCTAAAGGCCCAAATAAGAATATTCAGGATTAGATATTTGTTTATTGGCATTGATAGTTTAGACGTTTTAGCATACTGAGAAAAAGAAATATCTAAAAAATTTTACTCACTTACCGTACCTTTGGTAATTCGATCAGTAGAGTTAAATTTTTGTACAATCCACGTGGCAGTCAACGTGTCAATTGAAAGCAACTACTTACTAAGTGACACGAATTTACTCAAATTTATGATTATTACTTCTTCAATTACGGAAAAAGAATTTCCACAATTTACGTGTTTTATCTTCAAGCACAATTCTGATTGTTCTTCCACTATTATATACTTAGAGAAAAAATATCTAAGAAATAAAGAATATTTATTCGGTGGGCACTAAAAACACATTCACTTAAATCTAAATTCTCTTATTTACATAAAATAAACCGCTTTCATGAGAAGCCACGGTTGTAGGAAAATATGTATTTTCTTATCAGAAAAATATTGAATATTAGCGCAAAAGTAAACACGTCGTTAGTAAACACGTCGTTAGTATCCGCCGAATAAGTATTATTTGTTCCTCAAATATATTTTTTCTCTCACAATGTTTGCTCTCTTTGTATTTCATTAGGATATCGCGAGAAATTAATTTCGCGCCGTTTTGTTTGCCATTCGTCGCGTATCCCGCCGGCGTTTCCATTTACTCGATTAAACGGGTGCGTCGAAGTGCGCAGTTTCGCGGGCGCCAGGCCCGCCGCGGGCTGACGATGACGTTTTCGTCGTTGTTTGCACGGGACGCGGTTAAAGAACGAGGGAGATGCGAAGAAAGTAATTCTCTGGAAGAGTCACACTTCCCGCTGAGACGCTTAATGACATGTTTGCCTTCGTAATTACAGGTGGGCGACAGAGACACGCTCACGTCGGTGGCGGCGAGATTCGATACGACACCGTCCGAGCTGAGCAAATTGAACAGGCTCGGAAGTACTTTCATTTATTCCGGCCAGCAATTATGGGTGCCGGCGAAGGGGGAAGGACGCCCGGGTGGCGGAACGACCACTGATGCGCCCAGCCCCGATCCTTGTCACGACCACGAGTCCCAGGACGATCTACCGCCCGAGGAGAAAGGTGATTCTTAAGCGTCATTTTGCTCAGACGTGTTATTGTTTACCCGAATAAATATTTCTTACTTTTTTATTTTCCTCAGAGTAATGAACGATAACATAAGTTGTCTTTCTCTCTCTCGTAAAAACTTGCGAGTATCGATCGAGATGTTAAAAGGATTAAAATCCATAAGCGTATCTCACTTGAGCTTTTCACGCACCGAACTGAAGAAGTTATCGTGGACTACTCGCCGGAACAGTCCACAATCTTCCTGTTTACGCAATCACGCTTATGGATTTTAATCCTTTCATCTCGCGGACATCTCTTATTCGGGTAAATAATAACATGTTTAATTAAATCTAAGTTCTTTTAAGTAGAATAAACAATTGCTCTCATAAAAAGTTTTAAAGGTTTTAAGAAAATGTATTAATAATATATTCAGCTGAATCTAAATTCTTTTAAATAGAATAGAAAGTCAAGGTTTTAAGGAAATGTATATTTTCTTATTAAAAAAATGTCTTGTATCGATTCAAGCAAATATGTCATTCGTGTTCACCGAAGTACTTATATAGTACTTATTTTTTAGATTTTATTTTTTCTCTCAATGTATACTGAGAATACCAGAATCTTATCGAAGGATAAATCACGTACATTCGCTCGCCGTTTGTAACAAGTCGCTGAGGAGCAAATAATTAATCGAAATAAATACACGGGTCAACTCGACCGTTTGTTCCACTCGCCGTTAAATACGTCGTCATCGTCGGACCTTACGTGGCAACGAATGAAATACGGCGATCCCGTGCGTTGTAACTGCCGAGGCTAAAATCGTCTCTCGCATCAGCGGGTGCTGGCCACGTGTCCTGGCGGTTGTCAAAATGACTATTTCTCGCGAGACCGTTATATAGCCGCGCGCTGAAATAAATCCAGACTTGAAATTATTGTTTATCGCCGGTACGAAATCGTCCACGTGTAACACGTGTGGCCGACTAAAGTGCTTGGAAGGTCCGTCTGTACCGGAGTTGAGGAGCGACACAACCCGGCTATGAAAGCGGGATCCGTCGAAGGACACGTTTTTCTTCTCGTGACGTAACGCGCACGGGGGCGAGCGATTTTATTCTTACTCCTCGTTTGGATCCGACTGATTCCGTTTCGTCGATCCGCGCGACGACAACGGTGACGACAACAGCGTCGCCCGGAGTCCTGTATCCTGTTGCGCATTATGCTAACACGCAAGACAGATTTAATACGCGTAGCGCGCGGCATGAATAATGCAGCAGGTCCCTGCGGAGCTGGCTGAGCTACGCCCGGGTGTGCGATACGCACTAGATCGGCTCACCTGACTAAACATATCCAGAAAAGAATTGGGATATCGATATTATCTGACTGTGTATACAAAGTCGGCCGCTACGAATGAATATTAATGCGCCGTCACGCCGCATTACGTGTTGTCTCCGGATCCAGGCAAGAGAGACAGACAGGGAAGTAGAGAGAAAGACAGAGGGAGAGGGATCCGCAGTAATGCCATTGTGACTAACCGAGCCTTTTTGCCACGTTGTTTGCCCGTCGTCGTCGTCGTCGTCGTCGTCGACGACGTCTCCGTAACACGCACACGTTTGAAATCTCACGTACACCTGTCAATTATCGTTGAAAGTAGATAGTCGAGGCGTCCGTTTGTCGGCGCGGACTAATCAGAATAATGTTCGGCAAACTCGTTATACCTCACCCTTACGTCCCACGTGACAGAATGCCCGATCATTCGGAAGTTATCGTACTTTTCAAGGTGAATCCAACGTGAATCTTAATATCTTAATATCGAATCTTAATATGGTCGCTCAGTCGAAAATTTTGTAGAATTTAATTAAGCGAAATAATATTCTTGAACTTTGGCGTGCTGAATCCATACAGAGAATTCATACAAACACGGATGAAATAAACATATGTGATAAAAATTCATATATGGAGAACATATTGTGGTAAAAATTGCAACAAAATTTTTTAATTTTGGATCGTATAGAAATTATGACCGAAATTATTATATACTTGTTGAAAAATATTAGACACGTTTGACTTTTTCTTACAAAATTGATGTAATTGAACATTATTTTATATAATATTTGGTAGATCGTCGAATTTAGTCTTTCTATAGCAATTTATACTATACTGTTATTATAGACCAGTTTTACAAAAAAATACTGCAAATGAAATGTAACTTTAACGTCATTTTTACGTCTGTTTTCTTACGTGTACACAGAAATGATATCATGATTTTTTCTCATATAAATTTTTTTTTCAATTTTACTATGTTTCTCTAGTGACAGGAGTATCGGTAAGGTCTACCTTGCTAAAGAACATAACAAATTCTCGGCAGCACATTCTAGTTAGTAAACTACAAATCATTTCATATAAAATGAAAGAACAATCAATTATTGCAGAACGTCGATTTATTTCGATTAAAAATTCTCTGATAATTTTTGCTACAACACATTCTCCCCGTGTAAATGTATAAATTCTAAAAAAATTGATATGTCAAATGTCTAGAAACGTTGAGACATTTTTTACAATATGGAAGTGATGTATTCTTTTCTGTGTGGTATATCTCTGCTTGCAACGTACGTATATTGCTTGCATGTGTATTTATAATGTATGCATCGCGATAATAATTACAATATACGCCTCGCATATGAAAGTATCTAATTTCCGGCTAGACATGGTTCCCCGAATTATTCGCGAATGATAGCCAATTAATTTCTGCATTGTACATTCACGCGAAGGAAATATTAGCGCTTACGTGCCGAAAATAATACTCCGTTCTCCAACGTTACACAATATTCGTGACTCACGGACGCAAGTCGGCCGTTTAGCGGGACAATAGCCGAACAGATTGTTATGCACACTTGCTCAAACTTGAAGTTTATTTGTGTCTTCTTCGCGAGCACGGCCGCTCCGCCGTCGCCGCCGCCGCCGCCGCCGCCGCCGCCGCCGTCGTCGTCGTGTCGCATTAGTCGCGCTATAGCGCGTATCATGCACGCGATCGCAATATTCGCGGAGCGCACGTACATACGTCGTCACGTTTTGCAATGTCGACATGCGGGGAAGAGGACGACGGCGAGCGACGTTTCTCGTGGACTTATATCTTTTGTAATATGCTACTAGAATGGCCCGCACGGCGCCCGCCGCGGAAAACACAATTTCGTCACGGAGGTAACTTCAAGTTCTGTGCAAGTGACGCGGTAGCTGTATCACATCGTATGTAAGAACTTTTGCACATCAGGAGTACGGTGCCCGAAGGTTCCCCGTCGTGGAGAAATCTAGGCTCTGGTGCTTTTGGAACGTCCTGTATGTCGCCTTGGAGTTTATCATCACTACTTTATCACTCTTTTCGCATATATAATTCATTACGCTCTCCCTCCGTGTTGTCGCTAACACAAAATCAGCAGACGCTGCTCGGTGACGCGATATTTTCGATCGCATAAATCGATCTCGGAAGAGTTTTCGAGAGATTACGAGACGGATAACAATACAAAAATTGTCATTTCAATTGTTCATTTCAAACTAAAATCAGTTTTAATTTTTTTGTTGAGATTTCTCGAGTTACATTTGCGCTCATGTCTTGCGGGACTCTTTTCGCAATATTTTATTTTCCTACAACTTTCGTGTAAATTCGAAAATCCGGAAATAAGAAAACATCTGGGAGCGTTTGCATCGCCCGGTATACCGTCAGCTGATCGACCACGGCGCAAAGCGCGCTTTAAATATGGTACGCGCCAAGCTAACCTAACCTAACCTAAGTCCGCATGCCTGTGTAACGATGTCCTATGTAACAGCTGTGATACCGTGGCAGATGAAGCTCCGGTGAGATTACTGATTTTGTCGCAATTGTACATGCATGCGCGTCGCGTTGCGATGAATAACGAGTCATCGGAATTTTCTGTGAGGTTAGGTCGAGCCACTGACGTGTGCCGAGTGGGATGTAAATAAGCATCAGACGGCTTACAAGCCTTCCGTAAAGCGCCATTAGATAACCGAGCTCTGTATCGTTTTAAACATCATGAGACATTGAATCGAGATCATTATCAGCGCTCGCGCTGCTTGAAAGTGATAAAGGTTAAAATAAAGTGCCTATTATCATAGTTTTTTTTTCCTTGTGCCATCATAAATGACGCGATCATGAAGTGCAAAGTCGTTGTACGTAGGAGACTGTCGAGAAAGATCAATCTGGGACATCTTATGGTATAATGAATGTAACAGTATGCACATACGTGGTTTTATGATAAGTGTGTGTTTTCACTTTGGCTCTGTTCTCCTCTTCTAAAACTGCTTGGTCTCTTTCCACAGAGCTCCTGGACAATCTGAGACCAGTGTCACCAAAGCCAGGCCATATGGAGCGCATAAAGACACCCCTTGGGACTTCCAGCGTAGGTACAGAGGAGGATGAGCAACCATTTAGAGAAAGGTTTCTCAAGATTAATGTTCGGCATATCACAGATGGTCAGGTAATGTTTCTTTTGTGTCTCTCTTCTAATAAATAGCATTTCCATATGAGCTCTTTGACATTTCCACTGACTCTTGAATATTTTTACAGGGTGTGGTAGGTGGTGTGCTGTTAGTTACGCCAAATGCAGTCATGTTCGATCCAAACGTGTCAGATCCTCTTGTGATTGAGCATGGTGCTGAGTCTTATGGGGTGATTGCACCAATGGAGTTTGTAGTCAACGCTGCGATTTACTATGACATCGCGCACATGAGAGTCTCCCACACCGAAGCCGGTAATTTGGATAAGAAACCTGAGATTTACTACATGAAGAAACCCCAAGTGGATAATCGTAAGTGTCAGTCTCCGGGGAAAGAGGAAAATTTCCCTGAACTGGCGGGCGACGACAGTGAGAGCGTATGTAGCAGTGCCGAGAGAGACGGCGATGCTTTTCCAAAGGCCTTTGAACGAGAGCTTGTCACTCCCACAAATCTCCAAACTGTACGTATTTCTTCAATAGTAGTAGTGAAGCCAAGTTCTCTGCTTTAACGAGTAAGCAACGTGAAAATAACATTTGTTGCAGGAGGAGACCTCAACCTCGACCAAAGATAAAGAGAAGGAGAAAGATAATGGCGAGAAAGAATTTTGCAGCGGCGGTCAAGGTAGCAGAACGTTAGAAGAGCGTAGACGCTCTATGCTGGATCATCATTGGGCAGTTCCTAGCAAAGATCGGAATACATTTTCTGTTGACGATGAACAACAAGACTCGCTAAATTCCGATAAGGTGAATATGTCTTTGTCATGAAAGAAGGGTGCAAAATCATATGAGTAATTACGAGAAGAGATGAACAAAACCGACATATAAATAATTACAACAGGCGGAGCCGGCGAAATCAAATGCCATTCCTGAGGACGAAGAAGGATCTCTAGTCAAATTGTCGTGCCATGATTCTGGTATCGATATCCGCGAGCCGAATCCACCTATTCCGATAGTACAACCTATGCCATCGAAAAAGGTGTATTCAGACGCGGATATTGTATTATCTTCCGATTGGGTCCCTCCAATAACGATAGCACCAACGAACATTACGGGCTCGTTGGAGACAGGCTCTGCTATTAACGGCAGGAAAAAGGCCAGCTCGGTGTCCTTTAGTTTAGAGAGTAACGCGGAAGAGCAAGAGAAGGATGAAGAACACAAGGAGGACGATAAACAGGAAACTCGGAGGAACAAGGTATGTTTATAAACTCAGCGTTCACAACGTAACAGAGATTTTCTACATGGTATATCTCACATACTCGTTCTGGTATTTAGATGCTGAAACGTCTATCGTATCCGCTGTCTTGGATGGAGGGTTTAACTGGAGAGAAAGAAGATGAGAGCAAATCCATTTCTGATAAAGTGTCGAGCCTTCCGAGCAGCGCGGATTCCCATCACTCTTCCGTCTTCAGCAAAGTTTTTTCAAGGTGAACAAATTTATATCACACGTCGTATTCGCGATTATGCGAATCTAGCGTTCGAGTTATTTTCAGTACATGACATGATTTTCACAAGCGCTTCTATATCTCTTTATTCTTCTCCTTTTCTATGTTAAGAGTGAGCAAACGCGTTCCTACAAAGGATTTGCATATATCGAAAAGACAAACAGTCTTATCGCCCAGAACTTTTGTTCTGTGTGACGTAACTTTTATTTATCACTTGCTTTTTGCTAATTTTTTAGACAACATAGAGTACAAATGAGGTTATCTCGTATGATCAGTTACGCCTTATGCGCATCGCTTTTTTGCGTATAGAGTCAACTTTAAAAGTTTAATTCTTATGGGATTAGTGTAGCCTCATTTGTTGTAACAGCAAGTAAATTAGCTACTTGCGTAGAGTGAGAGTGGCTTCTTGCATATGAGAACTATTGCGAGATACAAAGTTTGTGGAAGGAATGTGTAACTGCGAAGGTATACGCAGAGATTTAATCAGTCAAATCGTTCTCGAAAATTTTTAAGCTATCGCCTGTGATCGATCGCGATGTCCAAAAATCGAGGGATCTTTATGTCGTGCTTAACGTTGCTTTTAGATTTCACTAACGCTTTATTGTCATTTCTGATGTAACTAACAAAAAAATATGTAATGGTGGTGGATAAAAGCTCGCCGATCAACCTGGTGAGTGACTTTAGCTCGGGCCTGTTTGCTAAAACCCCCAGCGAAGAGAGTGGCGGGGGCGGTAGAGCGGGTGGAACTCCTCCGCTCACCGCCTCCTCTCTCTCCCAGGACTCCAGCAATCCTCAGTTCTCACCTGGTCCAGGAGGCCTCATCGGGTGAGTCTGGACCCGATCGTGACCCTACATTGTTGTATCCCCTTTCTCCCTTTATCCCGTCTGTTTTTCACTTGATCTTTACTCTTTACTTCGTCCATTTCTGTATTTGTACTTACTGTTTCGTGAACATTTTATTTCGGTAGAATCCTCTCGCACGTTATAATCGTTGTCGGATCAATATCGCGTTAGTTGAAATATCGTGAATATAAAATATCGCATAGTCAAGTATGTTAGCCGTGAGCTGCTGGCGATTCTGAAAATTGAATTTCAAAATTCCGGAGGATTCTACAATTCAAACGCTTCTCCCTCCTGTACACTCTTCCATTGTTTTCGCTCGTTTTATTATCAAGACACTCTGGGATTGAGGCTCCTGCTTTCAGGTAAATCATACTATTTGCCGAAAGATCGATTAGGTTATAGACACTACCGATACTACTCTCCAGACTGCTTACAGCCAACACACGATCAATTTTACACAGTGTTTAGTACCCCCCTCTCAGCAGCTACATGATTTATTTCGCAGTGTATACTGGATACGCCTTGATTGTTAATCCCCCGTTATGTTATTGTTATTATTAATGTGTTATTACATACGTCGCTTCTGAACCACGAGTATGTCCGAAAAGTATTGCATTTCAATGAGACGTCGGGCAGCTAGTTAACGCGTACTTGTCGTCCAGAAGCGTCTGGAATGTTGTTTTACGAGAAACTCTCTTTCTCTCTCTTTCTCTCTTTGCGTTATAGTTATTTATTTACATATCTGCTTTCAGGCGCTCGTCCGTGGGTACTTTTATCAGGCAACAACCATTGACATCCTCCGGCAGCAGTAGCGTCGACAGCAGTCGAGGCAGCAAGACCTCAACGGCACCGCGATTGGACTATCGCAGCATGGTCTCGGTCGAGGATATGCCGGAGCTTTTTGTGAGTTTCGACAGTAAGTATCGCGATCGTATGTCATAGGAGCTCTATTCGTAACATACTTCATGTTTATCATCGGAATGGACAGTCTAATGATCGTGAAGACATATATTACTCCAACAGACTCTCCTTTCACACAGAACCCTCATTACTCTTACGTTGTGATACGTTATTGACATTAGCAATATCGATGGTATACGATGGAAAGAAACGAGCGATGATAAGGATGGCAAACGGGATATATACATTACGCACTGCACTTGCCCGAGCGCATAGACAGCTTTTTAAACAGTGTTGTTTTGCCACTTTATCGTCCCACTCTTAGTATCTCGAGCGCCTTTGGCTGTAAATTATTAGGGTTGTAGTGTGGGAGAGTAATCTCTCTCATGATTTCTAAATTTGAAATTTTCCTCGTTTCACATACCACCAGGTACTTTTTATCGAATTATTTCGTAACCAAATGCGCTTATCTCGCTACAGTAGTAGTTTACTGTTGTTTTAGACTGTATTTGTTTTTCATTATCGGTTCGTGTATCATTCCATTGAATTTACTATTATCGCTTTTCTTCGATATACGAGACGTCTGTCTGGTATAATTTGAGAGAAAGAAAAAGCGAGAGAGAAAGAATGTTCGCACTATGTAGAATGTATATTTGATGTGGATAAAATTCATCACGTATGGTCATCGATCACTTAGCTTGGATTCTGATATCACTGATACGTTAAATATATATTTCCACAGACGGCATCTTAGTATAAAGATTCAACTGGACAAGCATTTATACAACATTTCCTCTGACAAAACAAATATATACGAATACATCTCCAGAATTTTGAAACCCTTTGTGCCGCTGCTGTCAGTTTGAATTGCATGCAACGAGCGCGCGTCTTGTTTAAACGACTCTTTACTTGCTACTTTAATACTTATACTCAGCATCAAACTTTCGAATTTCACGTATATTAATCTCTTCTGTAACAATCGAGCGGTCGTACCGCCGTCAAGCTGCGCCTCTGTCGCGGGACGTTCGATCGTTACAGATTCCAGTAGTAATCTGTTTGTACGTTTCCGCATATAGATTGCTCAATCATCCTTCTATCTTTATTTCCAGTAATATTTTGTCTATTTCAGATTAGCACAACGGGTTTCATCATTTGGCTAGCAATAGGTTCATACTAATGCAGTAATGTCATTTGTTTCTGTTGTCCCTCTAGTCCAAGCACCTAATTTTCCCGAACTCGAAGGCCTGGGTAGGTTCATACAGTATTAGCTTGCTCTTTTCTCCTTGTGCCACGATCTCCCGATTTTTCGTTCGCCTCTCTTTCTTTTTTTTCTTTCGCGCGTCAACTCTCGGCGTGTCGTGCGACGTTATTTTTGTCTGCTCCTGATTTTATATTGCCATGCATTAAACATGATTTGCGCAACTATCTTGCGGACGATTATACACCGCGTCGCTGCGATGGTGTTGTTTCGATTTCATCACGATTTCTTGCTGCACGTGCATTCTGTCGAATTCTTCTGCAGTGTAACTGTGCGATCGAACCACTAATATTATTATATTTGTCGTCACATTGTTACATCATCCTTTTTTTCACATAATAATTCTTACTCTGACACCCCCTACTCTACTCACTCTGTTTTATGGTAATGCGCTTGCCTCGTTTTCCAACTTATACGTGTTTTCAGTCTGTTTTATGTATTTACATGTGATTTGAGTAGTTGTTAAACAAACGCGAAGAACCGTCCGAAGTATAACAGAGAGCTTCTTATTATAAAGAGATCTGTTTATTATAATGAAATCATGAACCCTACCTGTCGCCTATTTTTTCGCGGACTATATATATATATATATATATATATATATATATATATATATATATATATATCAGATGTAAAGAAAAATCGGTCGATTTTATCGACTAATATCTTTACTTAAGCGAGCTGTGCGATCATGATACTAATGTATATCTTCTGAATTATACAGAACTGATCCCACGACCGGCTCGTTCCTGCGAAGACCCACCATTGTACCTGAGACTACGCACAGGTAGACCGAAGGACAAGAAGATACCGCGTTCTACGCCGATAATGAGCTACGGGAAGAAGAAGCTGCGTCCCGAGTACTGGTTCAGCGTACCGCGCAACAGGTAAGCGCTCTTCGTATTTCAATAGAGCGTAGACCTTTTGCGCGACATAACGCATTGCGACGACGTCGTCGAGTTGCGATTACGCGTAAATTCTAGGGAATTATCGTAATGCGATATGTAACGCACGTGCTGTCATTACGACCGAGCTCGAGACGCCGTGAATTTTCACTTGCAGATTTCTCGGATTGCATTACATGTTGCGAACGTTCGGAGCGTTTGAGCTCTATTTTCTCGGAGTTCTATTTTATTATAAATTACACGTAATCTCTTAGAGACAAACAATTGTATTATTGGCTAAATGAGTGAGTTAATTTCTATCTGAAGATTCTTTCGGCAGGACTCGTTTAATATAGTCCCAGTTTTTGTCTAAAAATTCGTAATCAGTAAGAAACCTAGTGACCTCCGATGTGATTTCGATTTCTCAATATTCTTTTCGCCTCGTGGCCGCCGTAAAGTTGTGCGTGTAATCGGGAGAATCGCGCTCTTCGGAATTCGGCGCATTCCTGAAATCCGTATTTTTACGTCATTCGTTGTTTTTCTTACGGCTAACGAGTTCTCGTCGAAGAGGAGAAAAAAGCAAACGGGCGCCACGTAGTCCGCGATAAGTCAATCGGTCGGTCGTGCCAGAATAAATATTCGATGACGGGAGGTTTTCTTTTTTTTCTTTTCGAATGGAAAGGCGCGCGGTGAATTCTCTTCGTGCGAAAACGCTCTCGCCGTGTTATTTTTGTATATATGGTCGGCGTGCGCATACATCCGCGAGCGGCGGCGGCAGCAGCCAGAACATTACGACTGGACACGTGCTTCTTTTCGTGGGGGGAATCGCAAAATAGATTTTCGCCTCTGCCGCCGGATCTTCTATTTATACGCCCGCTGATGCTCGATCAAGGTTTACCGCGCCGCGGCTGGTGTTTTGCTTTCTTCGGGCTCGCGGATGCATTTAAAAATCAGCGGAGTGACGAATGAATACACTTTTTGTTGCGTTAGACATAACACTGTCGATTGTACAATCGCGTCAAATCAAACGGGGGGAATGTCGCAGTCGCTTCTGCGGGAAGCGTCGCGTAACTTAAGGCCCCTTGATCTCGCCTGCAGCGAAACCCTGATGAATGATCAGAAACGAAAGAACGCGGTCCAAAATTCTTGCGTATTTAAAATAAAAAGATGTTTATATAAAAGCACATTTTAGATTGCTTGAGCACCTGAAAACGCTCAAAAACCTACTTTATTTTTTATCTTAATAGTTAATAGCCTTAAAATTAACGAGCAGTTTTCTTCTTTTAATTTAATTTTTTTATCTTGTCGCGTTAATTCTAAAGCTATTTATTGACTGTCAAAAGGAAAAGATTTTCGGAGCACTTTACAAGTATGCTTAAGCGATCTGCAGTGTCGTTTGGTATCTTTTTGTTTGAAAATAAGACGCAAACATTTTTGGCATGTGTTTTCTTGTATCTGATGTCATCAGTCCAGGATTTTGCAGCAGTGGGACCAGGAATCTTAATATAGTGTGACCAGATTTCCCAGCACCGGGATTTCCAAGTCCGGGATACTTCATAAATGTGTCGAGCGTGGAGATAACCAAATATTTATAGACATATGAAAAATAATTTTACCACGTAATGAAGACCTACTATCTATCTATAGTGAAAATAGAAACTAAGATAAAACTGTTGTTATTCATACTTAAAATTAAGAAGTTACTATAATTGTCAGAGTTTAATTCTTTTGAGGTCTTTTTTTGTCAGAAGTACTTTAAAAATCTTTTGAGTCGAGTTAAACCAAGACAGTTTGGCCGAATTCAAGACCAATCGGCGTCCCGAATAGTGTTCCGGAAAATCCGAGAGAAAGAATAAAAACCCGAGACTGTCCCTGGGATTTCTGGTCACTGTACTATCGCCGGAGTCATGCTTATCTCGTTTCGTATTGATATACATGGAAAAAATATTTTTGATTTCCATTTCTGGGAAAAAAGATCGATGCGAAGACAGCCCCGACTAAGATATCGATCTCCATTCGCGGAATTTCAAGTCGGTCGATCACACGCGCGAATCATGCATCATGATATCACGTAAATCTCTCGCGCGGGCTGTTCTCTTTTTTTGGCGACCATTTGTTTGTCACGAAAGCTATCGGCTGTTTCGCGGTATTGCGCGATCGCATCGGGCAATAATACACGATTAAGATTGTCCCGAGTGCTCGCGCCAGATCAAGATTTATCGAGGACGACCTATCGATCCCTTTTCCACGTAACAATCTGCGTTCTAGGTGAACGACTCTTATGTTATTGATTAATTGCGAAATTACTAAGAATAGAAATTTTAGTGGTGCTCTCGTGATTGTCACAAGATTGTCAAAATTGACGCCCGTTGATATCGGCAACATGATAACTGAAGCGAACAAAAATTGGACTATTTCGTCGCGTCCTCTATTATTCAGAAGAAGGAAAACTGAGCATAAACAGATAAAGTAAATGCAGCAACAAATAGATAAATTGAGTAATCGCTTTTCTTGACGATATTTTTCTCCGTGATACGCGAATCGCCGCGCCTTTGGCGATTGAAACTTGCGTTGAACATTAAAGTGAAAGCCTCAAATCTAGTATTAAAATAGTCGATAAAAATCTGTCGACGTGCGACAGTTTTATAAGTTAAAAATACAGTCAGATAAGTTAAAAATTAAATATCTCAAGAGGGCACAGCAATAGAGCGATACGCAGTATCTAGTCTATGTCTAGAGTTTTAGTTTTAAATCTTATCTTTTTCTGTGCTCATATTTTTCTTTAGTACGACGTACGATAGTGTCGAGTATGTTGGGATAGATTGCGCGTTTATTGGATTTACAATAAAGAAACTTGTGTAAAGCGATCGCGACGGTGAAAAAGGCTAAGCCGCGGGCCTGCGAGGCGCACGATTGGCGAGTTCTATCTCGCGATGTCTCGCAGCGCGAACGAAATATAGGTGCAGGTGTACCGAGCGAATCAGCACGTGACGCGTAATGTCACTTCGACGAGTCCCCGCGACGTAGATGCTGGCTGCTCGCGGCGCCTTCCTACGTGTTCTACGTGTGGAAATATATTTCCCAAGTGGTTGTGTGTATTTCGAGAGACTCCGTCGCGCGACGGAGATTTCCCCGCGCAAAATATCTCTCCCGACGGAGACACGTCGGCAGGAGGAAACGGAAAATGCGGCCGTGGTCGCGACAGGTGGTCGAAGTCGTCGGGGAGCTCGAGGCAGGCCGCGCTGATAGCGCACCAAGTGCGAAGTCTCGCGAATCGAGTTAGATAATACGTGTGCCGTTACGCCGCGGCTGACACGTTGTTCCGAGTCGCTGGTGCGCGTCGACGTCGTCGTAACGTTGTTGTCGTTGTCGTCTGCGTCGTTCTCGCAGACGTGTCTCGGTTCTGAACGAATTATCGATCTCGCCGTTTTAACGTCATTGCGCCGTGCGATATCACGGTTATGAATTGGACGATGAGCGCGTTCAGCGGTATGCTCAACTTCATTTACGAGCGGCACGTGAGAACGGCGGCGGCGAACGTCATGCCCTTCGTACATCGCAGGTAAACGCGTTTCCGCTCAACGACTGGGGACCGGCTCGAGATACCTTGAGCCGTGCACTCGAAAAAATATTCTTGCAGTCATGAAAATGACCTAAATATGAGAAATTAGCTAATATAGCAAAGACACTACGATATCGCGTGGGTTTTATATCTAATCAATATGTAAACAACAGGGAGAAAAAGAGAGATAGAATTTCTATACGAACTATTTCTGAGATTCAGCAGGGAAATCTCTCTCTTTCTCTCTCCCTGTGGAGTCCATCTAGATTAAAACCAGTCAGGCTTCTTATAAAAATGTCTGTGGTAGCAAAAAAGTTTAGCAACGAGAGACAACGAATGTACTCTATAAACCTCACATTCATTTAAGAAGAGCGGCCAAACTCTTATAAGCTTTAGCCCCATTTTATGCCAAGCAAAATCTTAAAAATTTTTTGGTAAAATTGTAGCTATTCATGAGTAATTAAAGTTATATAATATTTATAATTATATAGTAATTATATAGTTATATAGTAATTAAAGTTATATTTATGATATAATTAAAATTATATAAGTATCAAGGTGATGGGCTTCACTTTTATATTATTCTTGATAACTTTTCATCCCATTTCTTGCAACATTTTCGATACGTTTTTTGTTAGAGTCCTAACGATATCATTTATTTTGATAAAATACGTATCTTTTCGAACCGATTTTTTCCAAATAATGAGACACACATCATGTTGATGTGTCTTATATATCTTTAAACTATTAATGAATAGCTACAATTTTATTAAAAAATAATTTGAGATTTCGGATGCCGCAAAATGTGAGATTGAACATGGTCACATGTTTTGCTTGTAAATATTGCTGTAAATTTTACGTACCACAGATACTTTTCCAACAGATACCATTATACAGATAGCGAGAAAGATTTTAACTGTGACATGCAAAATTCTACCTGGACCAGCAAAATATTTTTTTGAATCGTTGCGAAATGATATTAATTGACGTACGTGCGTTTCCTTTTTTTTCTCCAGAGTGGACGACCTATATAGGTTCATTCACGCGTGGGTGCCGACGCTCTACGGCGAGCTCGACGAGAATTACTGGCGGGAGCGCGGCTACATCCTGTCTGACACTGACACGGACCTGTCGCCGGAACTGTCGCCGCACGAGGCCGGCGAGGGCGCAGATTCCACGGAGGAGGGCAAAACTCGCGGTCACGAAGGCGATGAGATCACAGAGCTGACGAGAGAGTCCTGGGAGGTGAGTACCAGCGGTCTGGATCATTCGCATACGTCATTTCAGCACGGAATGTCGCCAAGGTGAAGATTAGTGATCAGAAAGCGTTTCTCCCGATGAATTCACAATTGGTTCTCCCGCGATCAACAATATCCGTCGCGAAGTTACTGAAAATTGGAGATTGAAAAGTGAGAAATCTTCTAGAAGCATATTCACTTTTCCATCAAAAGCGTGACAGATCAGCGGACTTTAGATAAATTCTCCGTGAAAAATCGTGCAATTTTCAACGAAAAATGCAACGCATCTCGATTGCTAATCGCGACGTTGTCGTCATTCCTGCGTCGCGTTGAATCTACGGAAGAGAAAGAGATCACATCACTGTTCCCGATATTGCGCGTCGATCTCTTTCTCCCTTGACATTTGCAACAACGCTCGTATTTATTTTACTGATAACCCGATCCTCACGTCGACCGACGCCGGCAGTGTCGAATGCCGTTTGCACGTCAAACGACCCGGATTCGCGCGCGCTAACGTTATCGATAGCGTCAAAGTTCAGTCTCCGTTATTTGACCATCGACGTTGCTCTCGTCGTCGCCCTCCTCGTCGACGCGAAAAAACGCGCGGCCTTTGTCGACTATCGACGCGAGGATCGCGCGAACGGTTAGACCCGTCGCGACGTTGCGACCAGGAGACTTGTTAAACACGGCCGATTGTATTGGCTGACAGCTGATCAAGGCCCCCTACGTAAAGCTGTACAGCATCCTGAAGACTTCGAGCACGTCGGCCGATTCCGAGCAGATCCAGGATTCGGAGGTATCGATAAATACGCTCCCTCCTCCTTCCTCTCGGTGATCGATGACGCATCTCTCTATACGTTCTATATATAGGCACCCTAATTGCTCGATGTTCAACAATGCACCTCTCTTAGATAACACCGCCGCACCCTAGACCTCGTTTAGATCTCTCTTAGGGTGCACCCGACATCTGTCACGCGATGTTCTTGCGGCCGTGCCTTTACCGTTTTGTGTTTTATCTTAGCTATACCGGCCACCAAAGCCGCTTTGCCCGCTTCGATGGTTCACGTCGGTGCATCCGACCGCGACACTCATAGTGCGTTTTAGCTCCCACGGGATAGTCTGTAGAGATACCTTGTCGAAATTGTCGCTACTTACACACCCTCGCATTCTCGCCAGTCTCGTATTAATGTGCACAGACGATAACCCTGTGGAAACCTTTGGTTCGGTTTCGCGCTAACGACATTCGATGGACGATTGAACTCTCTTCTCTTGTCCGGCCTTTTTTTTTTGGATCAGGTTCATCGATTTTTCATACGACTTGTAAGGTAAAAGCACCAATGCTCATTCACATGCCTCATTCATCCTGAACGTTCTTGATGTTCTACTTGTTAAATACAAACATTTAAACTCTCAATATAAAATGTACACAAAGTGAGTTTATAACTATTGCCACCTGGAATATTCTCGAAGCAAAAAACAAAAGTGACCTTAAGATCTACGCTTTTCAAAAAAAGCGTAATCACACACACATACACCATCAAAAGCTTCTTTTTTTTAAGTAGAATAACTTTGAAAATTTGAAGATCACTTATGTTTCTTTCTTCGATGATATTCGAGCTGGCAATAGTTATCGATTCAACATATACATATATTAAATATGTACATAGATTCTATGTTGAAAGTTCAAATATTCGTATTTAAAGACCATAACGATAAGAACATTCAGGATTAGGTATCCGGGAATTTTAATACTTTTACCTTACTGTACCGATTGATTGCACATCGTCGGAAACAGACTGCATGTACATCTGTGTTCCTCCTCGTCGTGGAATGTACTCTCAATTAGAATTTAGATGCAGCATGCACTTCATTCGGTACTCTCTTTCTCTCTGACTCGCGCATGAACAGTGTCTTCTTTTCCTTTTTTTCTCATCGTATGTCCACGTTATTATACCGTCTCTTCACATGTCGACACGGTTTCCGTTCGTTGCGACTTCCCGTGAATCTCCATTCGCGCACGATTGCCCGCGGCACGATCGAACCCTAATCTCGCAGAAATCACGTTTCTCACGCGAATCAATGCCGCGTCGGAGACAACGGAGATTATCGATCTCAAGGAGACGTCAACAGAACGTTAACTTCGCCTTGTTGCGTGCCTGGCTGAGAATGTAGTAGCGCCCGGTTGCGTATAACGCAGGTGGAGGCGGAAAGTGCGTTCCTACGCAGCTTGGAGTGACCGTCTCACGGTAATAGAACTTGTTTTCTGAATTATTATTATCATTATCAGGTGACTAAATTTCGTATTAATAGTCGTTACTTGAAACTTAGCACAGATGAGATTCTCAGATTTGGAGTTAGATACGAGATACTCAGCTGAATCGCGATTATATGTATAATACATCGTATGTATCATACAATTTAAATAAAAATAGCTCAAATCTCTAACTCTAAATTCAGATCTGAGTATCTCACGGACAAGAGAGAGTTTCAAGTAACTACTTTAAATTCTTTTAAACTCAGACATGGATTCAGATGTAAATTTAAAATTTTCAAGCAAATTGTACGATATGACGTTACATTCATAATCGCTATTTCATTGAAAAATTCACATCTAACTCGAAGGCCTGTTAAAATTGATATTTGTCTCATGTAAAGTGCTCAGATTTTTATTCAGAGTTAAGTCCAAGTTTTTCAGTAGAAGTAGACTATGATATATGTAACATTTACAATATCTGTAATCGCGATTTAATTGAAAAACCTTCATTTAACTCTGAATTCAGATCTCTGGCTCATTTGAAATGAGTTTCGAGTAACAACTATCAACACGGGTCACAATGTTTCGCTGTGTAGAAATACTTCGCGAGTAATGTCGTCGTCTGACTTGCGAACAAATGAAGTTTGCACACATTCTTGTACGCGTAATAAGCGCCGCGTGCATGTCGCATTATGTAAACATCCGACAATATAGATCAATGTGTGTCAAGAGTCATACTCTATGAACTGGTTGGCCATTGCATAATGGCGATGCATTATGAACGAGAATTGACACAGTCGCGGTGCAAATTGGCACAGATGTGGCGCAGGGAACGCTTCTTGGAAAGATACTTCTTTATGCGTCTGTTCTTTTTACAACAACGTGGCGTACGTTTTTCCGAAATTGTACGAAATGTGGGGTTAGAAGTGATTCGCACTAATTCTTTTATGAATTCTCCTGTTTTCAACGCTATGCGGAGCGTTTCGTAGAAGAAACGAGAACACTGAGAGGAAAAACAGAAGAAACATTGAGAGGAGATGTAAAAGAGAAAAAATATTTATTCGCGATGGGTGCCAACAACAATATATTTGCTCACACTAATGTAAAATATTTCTCAAATAAAAAAAATATACATATTCTCTTAAAACTTCAGCTTCTCATGAATTTTTTTAAATATTTAATTTTAAAATTTTTTAGAATGTAGTAAATAATGTTATTAGTACCCACCGAATATTTATTTTCTACACATTTTCATTCACAATGAATGAAAAGCGGGTTAATGAAGTTTCAAAAGCGGGATAAAAGCGTGACGCCAGAGATAAATAATAAACTTCTTATCAAGGCAAATAAAGTAGCTACTGAGGAGAGATTAGGGTATATGTTGATGATCGTAATCCGGATATCGATTCCGGGTAATAAAAACTGACCTCTCAAGGGAATACGAAATTGCGAAAGCGGTTCCGTGTAAATTGCGTCAGGCGTGTAATGTCAATCGTAAATATTCGGAGTATCGTCCCTGATTATTATACGATTTCGCGGCGTAGACGAACGATTCATATATATTCGCAGCCGTGAAGGAATGTCTTATCTTTAAATACATTTCCGAGTCGATCGTTCGAAAATAAACGATCGGACATCCTGCGGGCGACGCGTGTACGCCTTCGTTTATTTTCGGATTTCGCGCGATGTGTTCATCGCGGAGAAGAGCGCAGGTCGTCGTGCAAAAATGCGTCCGATCGGATTTCGCTGGAAACAACCGCCGCGAGCTGAAGGTACTCGCGCGAAATTTTCTGCGAAGGAAGGTGGTGTTTTATGAAAGGATTGTCGACTCGCGCGAAACCAATTTGAATTTGCAAATAACTCGCGACACGCACGCTCATATTTTCTCTCTTTCTCTCCCTCCTTCTCCGCTGTCCAAGAAACTTTTTAATTAAAAGTTTTCTTCGAGCACCGGATTTGTTCGCCTCGTACAGAGAGCCGCGATACGCAATTTAACGTTAGCCGCATCTCGCCCGATGGCTCAGGATCGAGAGAGGAGCATCCGCGTGAGTATTTAGAACGTCTATCGCTTAGCACGTGCTGCGCGACCGGGGATGCGCAGTCGCGAGGAAAGCGTCTGCCGGAGCATATGCGCCGCTCGTTTTTTCTCCCCTCCTTGCGCTCCTGTCGACTTATATGAACGTATTAGATTTACCCCGAAAGCTCCAGTGCGGCTTCAGTCCTCGTGAAGTGAAGCTCGTATCATTGCCCGACAAATAGTGTATGTTGTGAGAAAGAGGCGAGAGAGGAGAGATAAGTAAGGAGAGATTAAAAAATTGAACTGCGAGAGAAAGGTCAGGGCTTGAATAGTGTGATTTGAAATGCGCGCGCGCGCGCGACTCGAGTCACATTTCGACGCTTTGAAGCCGTTTTAAGTATGATCTGTAATTAGCACTTAAAGAGGAGTGTTAACGGGCAGTGATTAGTAGAGGCTGATTAGTAGTGCGCTCGCTGTGACCGTTTCTGGAGAAGCGTCGTGTTTATATTCCGGAAAGTGGAGTCAGGTCGCGTTACTCTGCCGTGGCTCGCCTGTTGCTCTTCGTCTCTTCCGGGCGAAACTTGATGCCAGACGAGCGAGCACAGTTGTTCGCGAGTGTAGAAACATAATGTAAACGAATCCCGCGATCGTGCGCGAGAGACAGAAGAGGAAAGACGCGGAATCGCGGTGTCGAGACAGCCAAACGGCCGGCCGCGATTTTTACGTACTCGTCGAGAGTAACCGGGAGCCGAAGATGCCGAAGCCAAAGATGCCGAATCCGATCTCCAAAATCACAAAGTTCTTGAAGCAGAAAACGAAGGTAAAGGTCAGAGTTGAGGCGGCGTGCGCGTCTCTCGGTTCGCGATTATCGCGGGCGAAACTCGCGCGAATGTGGATCAGAAATGATCAGGAATGTAGTTTGAAGTTACGTAATACGTAAACAAGATTCTGTCCGGAGGCGCGACTGTGGCGGAATGTTTTAGCGCGTTGATCACGGTGACTGCACTGCGTTAATTAGAACGCGTCGACTCGAGCGTTACACTGAGAGGAAAGTGTTTGTAACTATTATTACATAGAAAGATAATTACTGTAAATTATAGGCGAGAAAATTTCTTTATTGAATTCTATTATAATGTTACGCACGGAAGAAAAAGTTTGATTGGATTAACCAAACGTCAAATAGTGAAGTATGAACGAAGCAGAAATTTCTGTTAAAGTCACCAGAAAAATTGATCAGATTTTTGGCTAACCAAAACCTGCAACTTTCAAGTTAGTAGGACTTCTGACTAGAATTTGCAAGTGTGTTCAGGTTAACCAGAAATCTTGTCAATTTGAACAGAATTTTGGTAATTTCAATCGAATTTCTGCTTCGTTCATATTTCACTAGAGATTTGGTTACTCTTCAACCAAACTCGTTTTTTCTCCGTGTAGCGACAGTAATATTGTATACATATTACTACTACCATTTTCGTGTTGGAACAAAAAAATATGTAATTGGGGCCAAAAATAACTGTAATTTCAGTCA